AGGTGTTTCATTGAAAACGGAGCCTGGGCCTGCCCTGCTGCCCACAGGGGACATGGCAATGGTTTCCAGACTTTCTTCCTCCTGCTTCCCTTCTTTCTGAGATGTGGGCATCCCCAACATCAGCTGGGTATGGGGTCAGGAGTTCACAGTGATGGCACTCAGGTGCTGGGCTGGTGTGACAAGTCTCCAGCACCTGGGGCTGACTCACAGCTCATGTTCCTTCCTGGAGATTACAGTCCAGGGACCCAGGAAGACTTGAGTCTGTCCCACTGTTAGGTCAACTGCAACCAGTGTGGCCAAGGACAATCTCAGCAATTCGTCTCCTTTTACCCCTGACCCCCGTTCTTCCACTGGACAAATGTCTGTCACTGCCGCCACCTCCACCCAGCTAAGGTGCCTTGCAGTCCTAGGTGACATCCAGGTCCCCCTTCTCCCATATTTCATAAGCCACCTAGTCCTCTCCATTCTTTGTCTCAAAGGTTTGCTAGATGGGCACTTTTTTGTCCTGCCCTTTCCAAGCTCAAAGCTTTGTCCAAACCCTCCTCGTTGTCCACTGACTTGGGTGCCTTGCCAGCAGCCCCTGCCAACGAGCTTCTCGGTCTGATTCTTTTTTTTTTTTTGAGATGGACTTTCGCTCTTGCTGCCCAGGCTGGAGTGCAATGGTACGATCTTGGCTCACTGCAATCTCTGCCTCTCTGGTTTAAGCAATTTTCCTGCCTCAGCCTCCTGAGTAGCTAGGTCTACAGGTGCCCACCACCACATCTGGTTGATTTTTGTATTTTTAGTAGAGACGGGGTTTCACCATGTTGGCCAGGTGGGTCTTGAACTCCTGACCTTAGGTGATCCGCCCGCCTTAGCCTCCCAAAGTGCTGGGATTACAGTTGTGAAGCCACTGCACCTGGCCATCGGTCTGATATTTCTAACACATACTTCCCTCCTGTCCTCCCCTGCTCAGGAACATGCCTTGGCTTCCTGCTCAACAAGCCCATGAGCCTTTGCCCTACATGAAGATCCCCTGTGACCTCATCCCACCGCACACACCCAAGCCTGGTGGGCTGTCAGCGGCCCTCAACATCTCCGAGTGGAGTCGAGAGAGTCCGAGACAGTCAGATGGGGGCCGGGCAGGGACAATGCTCAGGTTGTCAGTGCAAGTAATGGAGTCTCACGACAGCACGCTGGTGCTGAACGGCAAAACAGGTGTTGTCAAACTGGGTGGCCCCTCTTCTCTTCCCCCATGGGCTTGACTAAATGGATTCCTCTTGTGACCTTGTGTGGGTTGGTGACAGTATAAGGGACAGGAGATGGAAGTGGGGGAAATGATGGATCCTTGGGCAGGGGCGCTTGCTGTGTGACCCTGGGCAGCTCAAATCTCTTTTCTGTGTCTCAAGTTTTCATTTATCCTCCCGAGCCCCTTTCAGCTCTCACAAAACCCCCTTCGTTTCTCTGTCTTCAGTGAGCATCTGTGAGCAGCTGGGCACAGAGGACTGGGTCATGGCTGAAGAGCCCAAGCAGCTCCAAACCAGCCTGGGGGGGGGGGGGGGGCGGAGAACTAGAGACAGTGGGGTCTGGAGCCTGGATAACAGGGGTGTGAATTCTGGCTCAGTCCCTTCCCGTGGTGTGAGATTTCAAGCAAGTCAGCTGATTTCCCTGAGCTTCAATTCCTCCTTCTGTGAAGCAGATATAAAACCCCACTACATGGATTCCTGATTCTGTCAGCTTACTAGCTGGGTGGCTTACTAGCTGGGTGAAACCAGCTAGTCACATTCAGCCACATTACCTAGCCTATTTGTGCCTCAGTTTTTGTCATTTATAAAATGGGTATAATCACGATACCTACCTGATGGCATTTTTGTTTGTTAGTTTTTTGTTTTTTGGGTTTTTTTTCCAGCTCAGGCTGGAGTGCAGTAGTGCAATCTTGACTCACTGCAACCTCCACCTCCCAGGTTCAATTAATTCTCCTGCCTCAGCCTTACGAGTAGCTGGGACTACAGGAGCACACCCCCACGCCTGACTAACTTTCATGTTTTTGGTAGAGACAGGGTTTTACCATGTTCGCCAGGCTGGTTTCAAACTCCTGACCTCAATAATCTGCCAACCTCCATCTCCCAAACTGCTGGGATTACAGGCGTGAGCCACCACGTCCGACCCTGACAGGGTTATATATCATGAGATTTAAATGCATTAATATATGAAAATCCATTGGTATAGTGTGTCCAGCACATAATTATGATTTGCCTGGGTCTGTAGGACTGTATGAATACAGAGGTGGCTTAGAGAAGGGCGCGTTTTGTACAAGAGGAGGAGGTGGCTCTTTGGAGAGAACTGTCTGTGGGTGACAGTTCCTCACCCATCCTCAGTCTTGGCATCCCTGTGCCCCATATCTTACCTGCAGCCTCTGATCTGGCCTCCTTGCCCCCAGAAATAGGTGACTTATCTGCCTTCCACCTCCTTAAACATGCTCTTGTCTTAGCAGGCGCCTCCATCATCCTGGGGAGGGCTGTCCTTTTTCAAATGGGAAATGGGCCCTTATCCTGTGCTTGGGAGAGGTTGCCAGGGAAAGTAGGTTGAATCTCCCAGACATGCTGGCACTCTACTGCCCAGTAGAAAGATAAATATCACTTTGACAGCTGCTAACCCCATGGCGGGGGTGGTGGGCAAGGGGGACTCTTCTGGGGGTTGGGAGGCATTCTCCTCCCTCGGCCACTGAGTGCCCAGCTTTCTGTGTGTGCCTGCCGGGTCACCTGCCCTGGGGCTTATCCACGTCCAGAGTGCTGCTTAGAAACCCAGGGGAACTGGGTGACTGTGTCAACAGCTCAGGACCAAAGGCTGCAAGAGGCAAGGTCCACACACTCTGCCAAGGCCAGGGAGGGTGGCAGTCCTCAGCTGCCAGCCTCTTGCCCTCCATGCTGAGACTTGCTGTCAGCGAGGACCTGACATCTCTTCTCTAGATTTCCCAAGCACAGGCATTGGGACCAGGAGTCTCCATGCAGAAGACCATCCCAGCTGAGTGGGCTTTGGGCGGGACCAGGGAACGTTTCCCAGCGAATGGGGATAGACAGAGGCCTGTGATGCTGAGGTCAGGCACGTGGCCCCAGAAGGCAGTGGAGGGAAGGAACAGTTCTGCAGGCTTGCCAAAGGACCCGAGGCTCACATGTACAGTAAGCTCCTGAGTCATGAGGTCCCTTTCCTCCTGAGATGATCAGGGGATCACACCGTTCCTCCTTCAGGGGCACCCAGGACACTTTTCGCCTAGAGAATGGTGTCTGTGCCTAGAGATGGACAGTGGCTGGGGCCTTCCTTAGAGGGGTTCCTCTAGCCCTTGGCCTGTCTGATGACTCCAATGTATGTGTGTGAGGGGGACGGGTAAATGTGAGGGGGTGGTTAAGAAAGGAGATGGAGACATGGGGGCCTCCAGGGAGTTTCTCCTGTGGGCCAGTTTCACTGCTAGCTCTCACACCCAGAAATACCAATAAAACTGATGATAATAATTAAGACCATATAATCACCGTGTGTTTATTTACCCCCTGGAAGCCTCCTTTCCCTGGCTCCATCATTACCTTTTCCATCCTTATGATAGCTGGTGGGCGTTAACTATGGTTCCAATAAAAAGCAGTAACTGCCTGTGTTTCCACCCCACATGCCCGGACAGCTTTGCTCCCACCCTCTGCAGGGTGGGGCGACACTGTGCTCCCTTTTTGCAGAGGGAACAATTGAGGCAGTAAGCTGAAGATGACGCAAACAACGAAACCTCACAGGGCAAGCAGAAGCAGTAACGTTTGCCGCCTTCTTTTTTTGAGACAGAATCTCGCTCTGTCGCCAGGCTGGAGTTGAGGGCCGCAATCTCGGCTCACTGCAATCTCTGCCCACTGGTTCAAGCAATTCTCCTGCCTCAGCTTCCCAAGTAACTAGGACACAGGTGTGTGCCACCATGCCCGGCTAATTTTTGTATTTTTAGTAGACACAGGGTTTCACCATGTTGGCCAGGATGGCCTCGATCTGGTGACCTCATGATCCTCCGACCTGGGCCTCCCAAAGTGCTGGGATTACAGGAGTGAGCCAAGACACCAGCCTTGCTTTCTTTTTTAGAGGCTTCTCCCTTCTTCCAGGTGTCTGCCTCCCTCCCAGAGGAACTTTCACATCCCTCTGCAGGACCACTCTCAACCTGCAGCTGCTGATGCCTCAGAAGACTGATCAAGCCAAGCATGTAGCCACCAGCCAACACCACTGGGTGATATGGGGAAAGTGACTTTTTACCAGTGAGCGTCCTATTTCCTACATGGTAAAAAGGATGCTTGCAAAGATTAAGACCTTATATGCAAACACGCATTACAAAATAGCAATGGCTGATGCTACTGTTAAGGGCCCAGGGACATTTGTGTAACTTGACTCAGAGGAATAGGTGGAATTTCAAACTTCTGGTGAAGAAGGAGCTTGGGAGCTGGGAGCTGGGAGCTCTACCCCGAATGCCTCAAATCATCGCAGTCAGCCCACCTCGGAGTCAGAGAAGGGCGTCCCAGCCCAGAGAGAAGGGAACCCCTGAAATCTGCTGGCGTGAAGAGTGCCTCAGGTTCCCTCTCCCCGACGCCCCCTCGCTTTCCTTCCTGGACCCACTGGCGTAAGACCTGGGCTTGCTGGCGCTTAGCCAAGCGTCCTTCCAGCTCCTGCCCGAGCCTGCAGAGATCCTCCCATAACCCCGCAACCGCATCTCATACCTTTACCCATTTCACACAGGGAAACATGGGGCGAGAGGGAAAGACACTGGGAAAAGCCAGTGAAGGGTCGCGAAAACTCTGGAGTCCCGATTTTCTTCCTGTCCCGACCCCCGCACTCCCCCTGCTTTTTTGTTGCAGCTTCCCACACTCTAATCTTTCCGATTGGGACGGCGACTCCACTGTGGGCCCGACGCGCGAGTTCCCGTGGCACATCGCCCCTTTAAGGGGCGGGCCTCTCGCCTTCTTGACCTCGCCCCGCCCCCTCTGGGGCCACACTGCGCTTGCGTGGTGAGCCGGAGCCCTGGGGTTGGGCAGCACTTGGTTCCGTGCAACTTTCAAGTGAGTTGCAAACTCCGCCCTGCAGGCCGGTGCCGGCGGCTGGGTGCACCTGGACCGCGGCGACTCGCACGAGCGAGGCCGCGACCTGCCGCCCCAGCGCGGGACCAGCAGCGAGAGCCGAGCACGGGGTTCTCCGCGTCAGGAAGGGCGGGTCGGAGCCGTAACTGCCCCAACCGCGGGGCGTACGCGCCAGCGCCCGCTCCCAAGTCGGCTTCCTCCCCGCCGGGGCCGCTTTGCTCCGGGTCTCCCCGTTCTCCAGGTCCCCCGAATTGCAGAGGCGGAGGCCGTGGGCGGCGGGCTCTGCCTCAGCCGAGGGACAGCTGGACCGCCCCTCTGCTTCCCGCAACCGCCCCGATCCCCCCAGTCCCAGCCCTTGCTTGAACGACCCTCTGGGCGGCTTTCTGGGGTTCTCCCCTCGTCCCCAAGGCCGGCAAGATGGTGTCCTGGATGATCTGTCGCCTGGTGGTGTGAGTATGGCCGCCCTCAGACCTCCTCTACCCCGGGGTGCCGTCCCGCCCCTGTGGTGGAAGCTGGAGACGTGTGGTGGGAGAGGGAACTTTCCAAGCTCCACCCTCCCGCACTCCATGCAAGGGTTAACGGACCTGTGGTCTTGCAGGCGGTGCCTGGGGCACTGCTTGCTCCTCGCCCCACCAAACCTCCCCCCACCAAGCATCTTTGGCTGAGGACGTCCCCTGCCACACGCCACACACACTGCAAACAGATGCGTGGGGCCAAGGGCCACAGGCCTACCTTGCAGCTCCTTGGCAAACACAAGGTGATATGGCACGTTGTGGGTGGAGAATCCAGGTGCATGCGTACTTGCCGTCGAGCAGTCACATGACTCACGTCCTGCTCCTCACCTTTGAGTACTCCAACACCTGGCTCACACAGCCCTGTCTGCAGCCCGGCAGTGCCAGGTCTGGTGGCCCTGGGCCTGATTGCCTGCCCACGGGAGGGGACGGTCTGGTGTTCTCACCCACTTCGTGGAGTGGCTGTCCTCTCGCTCCATCACGCACCCATGGGCCACAGGTGCAGGCCTGGGCAGGCTTCAGATGTTTGTAAACAGCAGGGTGGGGAGGTGCCCTCCAGGGCTCTGACTCAGGCACGGGTTGTACAAGCCAATCGAGAAAAACAGGGTAGGTAATGCCACCTTGCACCCCAGTGGGGGGAAGTGGCCACCTGGCGGGGTGAGAGTGGGACATGGGGCCCCTCACGCTCCCGGTGGCTGCTCTTCCAGGCTGGTGTTTGGGATGCTGTATCCAGCTTATGCTTCCTATAAGGCTGTGAAGACTAAGAACATTCGTGAATACGTGAGTGTGGGGGTTTGGGTGTGTGTAGTAGGACTTGGTGAGGGGGAAGGTCTGAGTTGACCTCTCCCTCCTCTAGGGGCAAGGTCGTGTGGCACATCCTGAGTGGAGTGGGGAGGGAGAGAGAATGGACCCTGTTCAAGAGGGTGTAGATAGAGGTCAGGCTATCGGGGTGCCTGTGGAAGATCTTGTGGGTGAAGCCCATTGGAGGCAGGCGCAGGAATGAGCAGCAGTTTCTTGGAGCTCCTGTCCAGCCCTGTGTGGGGGAAAGCAGCTGTGCAGCTGGACAGGCTCCCTGGAATCCCTGGGCTGGGCTGGCCCGGATGGGAGTTGGCGCTGCAGGCCCCATGCTGACCTCTGCGCTCTCACCCTGCAGGTGCGGTGGATGATGTACTGGATCGTTTTTGCACTCTTCATGGCAGCAGAGATCGTCACAGACATTTTTGTCTCCTGGTATGGACGCGGGAGCCGCAGGCCAGGGTCAGGGGTGGCCCACTCCAGCCTGCTCCTTGGCTCACCCTGCGCCCTGTGCTGTGCCAGGTTCCCTTTCTACTATGAGATCAAGATGGCCTTTGTGCTGTGGCTGCTCTCGCCCTACACCAAGGGCGCCAGCCTGCTTTACCGCAAGTTTGTCCACCCGTCCCTGTCCCGCCACGAGAAGGTACCCCAGGGGGAGGCGGGAAGGGAGGCTTAGGGGTGGGTGTGAGGGAAAGAGCCCTGGACCTGGGACTTAGGATGCTGGGGACACTGGGGTTCTAATCCCAGTCCTGCTGCTGGTGAGCTTCGGAGGTTGACGGAGCCCAGCTTACCTCATCTTCTGGGATAATTAGGTGGGGGTGCACATGAATGACCTTTCAGAGTAGAAGTTGGTTTGGGGGTAGTGGTGGCGGCAGCTGGAGCGCGGCCGCTCACCGAGGTGGCCTGCCCTACTCCTGGTGTGTGTTTGTGATCCAGATCTGTGGCCCCTGGGCACCAGGTCGGGCTGGGCTGGGCTGGGTGGCGCCATAACCAGTGACTTCTCAGAATCTGCAGAGGGAAAGGGACTTTGGCTGTCCACCTGAGCTCTCCTCCCCACTGGGTCCACAGGAGATCGACGCTTACCTCGTGCAGGCCAAGGAGCGCAGTTACGAGACCATGCTCAGCTTCGGGAAGCGGGGCCTCAACATTGCCGCCTCGGCTGCTGTGCAGGCTGCCACCAAGGTGCTACGAGCCCCCGGCCCTCCAGCAGCCCCATCCCACCCCTAGCCCCTTTGGGGCCCATTCAGCTCCTCTGCCAGGGATCCCAGAGACGGCAGCTGGAGGGCAGGGATGAGAAGGTCTGGAAGTGCTGGCCGAAGCGTGGAGCTGAAGTCAGACCTTCCTTCCTGGCTGTGGCACCGAGCATGAGCAGCAGCGCCTGCTCTCTGGCTTTGGTTTCCTGTTGGTGCCACGCTGGCGTGGGGCCAGAGCTTGCTGAGCAGTTTTCAGTTCTCCATCTCAGCCCCAGTGATTAGTTGGTTGGCCAATTTCCCTGGGCAGCCTCCTAGCTGAAGCCTCTCCCCTGTACCCCCCGCAGAGTCAGGGGGCGCTGGCCGGCAGGCTGCGGAGCTTCTCCATGCAGGACCTGCGCTCCATCCCAGATGCACCCGTCCCTGCCTACCAGGACACCCTCTACCCAGAGGACCAGGTGCTCCACCGGAGGCCACCCATTGGTGAGTGGGCAGAGGGGCCCAGGGCCATACCAAGAGGGATGGCTTCCTTCATGTGCACCCTGGCTTTCCCCAGAGCTAGAGGAAGGGCTTGCCTGGCCACAGGCGTTCAGCTTCACTGCCTCCTCCTCACAGGGTACCGGGACGGGGGCCTGCAGGACAGCAACACGGAGGATGAGTGTTGGTCAGATACTGAGGCGGTCCCCCGGATGCCAGCCCGGCCCCGAGAGAAGCCCCTGAGCCGCAGCCAGAGCCTGCGTGTGATCAAGAGGAAGCCGCTGGTGCGGGAGGTCAGTACAGAGGACGGCGGGGGGCAGGGGGCTGTGCCGGTGCTCCCCACACCCTCATGCTGGGCCTTCTCTCTTCCCAGGGCACCTCGCGCTCCCTAAAGGTTCGGACGAGGAAAAAGACTGTGCCCTCAGACATGGACAGCTAGGGTCTGCTGCATCTGGCTGGTTCTTACCTCGTGCCCTGCAGGGCTCCGGGGATATTTGGAGAGACCTTTGGCTGCGCATCTGGCCTGCCTGCACCAGCCGCTGGGCCCCACCCTCCTTGCTCTTGCTGATGGCTAAGGGCTGGGAGCAGATGCTGCCAAGGCCACAGGCTGGATGCACCATGATGTACCAAAGCAGGCTAGGCCAGCATTCTATTTATTGCCTTGCTCTGCCTCTTCCTTCCCTGGTTGTGGGACCAGAGCCCTCCTGGAACCCCTGCAAATGAAACCAAAAGGCCACCTGGGTGTGTTCATTCCTTCCTGTCCTTCTAAGTACTTGATGGACTTTCATAAGGCCTGGTGTGTGTGTGTGTGTGTGTGTGCTGGTGAGCGAGGTCAGGTTTGTGAATGTTTTCATAAATAAATACATAAAGGGATTCTGTTTCTCCTGGGTCTTATTCCCAGTGCTGACATCATAACCTTGAAATTCAACAGCCCAGTCCCAGCCTAGGTCTAAGGCTGAAGGAGCCCAGTCCTCTGGAGGAGACAGAGCCATTGACAGCGTTGTGATGCAGCATGTGATTCCACGGAAAAACTCTTGGGGCGCTCTGAGAGCATCAGTGGGAAAATGGGGGGACCAGTCCAGAGGACGAGTCAGAACCAGAGAGTTCAGATAGGCTGAGAGGCTTTGGCAGGAAGGTGCAGCTGTAGAGAAACCAGTGGGAGCCCAGGCAGGCGAGGGCTCGGGGCAGCATGTTAGTCCCATTGGGAGGTCAAGCTAGGCAGGGGAGGCCTGGGTAGTATTTCCTCCGGGAGCCTGGAAGAAGGGGGCCACTGGGGCAGCTCTGGGGACATCCAGTTCTGTTAAACACTCAGGTAACAACAGCGGGCGTAGCATTGCACCTCTGAGGAGTGGCCACAAGAGGGCAGCAGCAGCCAGGATCTCAGCTGCCCTCTGCTTCCAGGTCGAGGAGGGTGGGGCTGGGAGACTGGCCAGAGCCTCGCCCTGCTGGGCCTGGCGGAACTTGGCCGGCCTCCAGTGTCCCTCCCTGCTGCTTGTGGTCACTGGTCCTTGGCCTGCCCCATCCAAGGAGTCTCCTCTGCTCTCCTGAGACCAAGGCTCTTTGCCTGGCTGGTTCCACTCCAACCCCTCCTCCAATCCCTGGGGTCACTGGGTACCCAGCTCTGCCCTCTCCTGCCCTGATGCTGATGCTGGTCTCGCCATGATGCCTGGGGTGTGCCCCTCTGCCACCGCCACACCTACTCCTCCTCCCTGCTTTTGATTAAGCAAAGGGGTGGGTGACAGTGTGGGATGAGAAGAGGGGAAACAGGGTGGTAACCTGGAGTGGCCTCAGAGTGGATTAACTCTTGGTGTGGGGATTATCTGGGTTTTATTTGGGGGAGGCTCGTAATCTCCTGCTGTGGTTTAGCTCCTCATGTATGGGTGCTCCCTGCCATCCTACCATGGCCTGTCTTTTTGCATCGTGGGGTTGTCTTATCTCTATAAATTCATTCAAAAAATCTCTATTGAGCCTCGAGCAGGTACCAGACAACACGCCAGACGCTGCAGGGGGAGTGACGGCTGGCGCCCAGAGTGTGGCCGCCCACGCAGACGCTGCTCTAAGCCCCTAGCATATAGTAATTTAATCCTCATAACAATCTTTGGGGGGTACGTACTACTCTTAGAGTCTCCATTTTACAAACGGGAAAACAGGCACAGAGAGGGCAAGTGATTTGCCCAAGGTCACACAGCTAGTAGGTAGCAGAAGGGCTTGGAATCAGGCAGTCTGGCTGCAGTGTCTGTGCACTTAGCCACTATGCAGTACCAGCCTGAGAGAGATGATTCCTGCCTGGCAGGCAAGGACATGGAGACTAACGTGTAGAGTATTTGCTGTGTGCCTGACCTTGTTCTGGGCATTTTACAGAGATGATTTCCTTGAATCCTCCCAAGAAGCCTGTCAAGTAGGGACTATATCCATTTTTAAAAACAGGTTCTCACTGTATCGCCCAGGCTAGAATGCAGTGGAGCGGTCATAGTATACTGCATCCTTGAACTCCTGGACTTGAGGGATCCTCCTGCCTCAGCCTCCTGAGTAGCAGGAACTACAGGTGCTGTTCATCACACCTGGCTAATTATTGTATATATATAGTTTTTAAGATGTGGTCTCCCCATGTTGCTCAGGCTGTTTTTGAACTCTGAGGCTCAAGTAATCCACCTGCCTTGACCTCTGAAAGGGCTGGGATTACGGGCATGAGCCACTGTACCCGTAGGGCTATACCCATTTTACAGATGAAAAACTGAGGCCTGGAGCCACAACAACTTGTCTACTGTTGTGATGCTTGTGAGTCGGGGACCCTGACTCCTGATGCACCTCTGCCTGGGAGTTGCATTGATAGAGGTAGGCTGGCAGGATCCACATACCCAGACCAAGGGAACAAAACCAGAGGGGTGCCAGGCACAGTGGCTCACACCTGTAATCTCAGCACTTTGGGAGACCAAGGCAGGCGGATCACCTGAGGTCAGGAGTTCAAGACCAGCCTGACCAACACGGTGAAACTCCGTCTCTACTAAAATATAAAAATTAGCCGGACATGGTGGTGCGTGCCTGTAATCCCAGCTACTCGGGAGGCTGAGGCCAGAGGATCGCTTGAGCCCGGGAGGCAGAGGTTGCAGTGAGCCAAGATTGTGCCACTACACTCCAGCCCAGTGACACAGCAAGACTCCATCTCAAGGAACAACAAACCCAGAAGGACATGTGATGAATGGCAAAACAAAATAAAGCAAGAGAAAACAGTTGGGGAGAGGCCTGACGTCATGTGGTGGTGAGGGAGATTTCACTGGGCTGGGGGCTTCACTTACCCTCCCTCCTAGGACAGGTGTTTGGAGAGGGCCACAGGGCCACCTGAGCCCCTTGGCAGAGCTCGCCACCTCATCAATCAGGCTGTCTCCTGGCTCTGCGTGGCCCCGCGCATACTGACCTCTGACATGCTCTTCTTCCACTGTCCCACTGTATCCTGTTCCCCCTTGCCCTTAGAACCCCACTCAGACATCGTCTCTCTGGAAGCACTCCCTCACCTGGAAGTGGTTTGCTGTCTGGACCTCACCGCCTCTGCTCCTGCACAGACTTCTGCTTTTGCCTTGAGCGCGTTACCTTTTCTCCCCCACTGTATTGTGACTTCACAAAGAACATGTGTATTTTACACACTGTTGTAGCTCAGCGCCGAACAAACTGAGTTTGCGACTGGGTGGTAAAGTCCTGCTCATTCTCTGACCTGTCTGTGAAGCTCCTCTGCCTGCCTCAGGGCAGGACTGGGAGCACCTGGTCATCATTCACGAACAAGCCCAGCTCCCCCAGCGCCCAGCACTAGGCCAACATCTATGAGGCCTGGAGGAGTTTTTGCTGGCGAAAGAACAAATGCACACAGTGAGCATGAGTTCTGGGTGGGGGAGGCTGGGGGGACGGGGGATGGCCTTGTGATTTCTGCCTTTGTGCACTGGATCGCCTGGGGCCCACCGCAAAGCGTTGAACATGTAAGGTTCCTAGAACATGGGTTTGGTGAGCGGTGACTGCAGCTGTATGAATTCCAACACATGATAGGGCCAGAGGGGAAGGAGCCAGGAGAAGTCCAAGTTCTGGGGCATTTCTGGGCGAGCATGCATGTGACCCAGAGGCTCAGGACACTGGTTGTCAGCTGGACTTCCCTGAGAGCCGACCTTGCCCCTCTGAGAACCCCTGAGACCTCACCTTTGCCCAGCATGGTCGCACACTGGAGGGGTTCCTGTCTCACCCTCCACCCACTCTGGCCTGGCCTCTCGAAGAAGAGTAGGCTGCACGCCAGCCTGCCCAGGGCCCCCAATCCTCTCCTCCCCACCAGCCAGTGGGCCCCCAGCAGGATCAGGGCACGAAGGTGGGGACACGAAGCTGCCACAGCCAGCCCCCTTAGAGCTGCACACCTCCCCTGGGTGTGGCCCCTACCCAACTCGGTTTGTGCCCTGGTCTCACTCCTCACCTGTCTACAGCTCGTCTGCTTTTGAGGGGTTCCTCCATCTCCCCCACTGGTTTCTGGGTGCAGATGGCCCTTCCTGCTTGCCCTTCTCTTCTCTCCCCCCCCCCCCCCCCCACTGCCAGGCGCTTCCAGGTTGCTCCTGTCCCTCCCTGTGTCTTCAGCCCTGTCACCGACCTTCTCAGCCTGGGGACCTCCGTGTCCTGGTCCCCTTCCCCACCTCCAATTCCATGTGTGCTCCACACACTGGCTGTATTTTTAGCTGCCACTGATTAGCCTGTAGTTCTGACACAGCTCTGACCCAGGCTGGGTTGGGGCATCCTGGCTGGCACTGCCCCCCACCTTGAGGGGTTTAAGAAGGTGGCACTCAGGCTCTGGCTCCGTCCTCTACCCAGCATCAGGGACTGGGGGGTCTCAGGAGCTGGGTAGGGGGCAGACACCCAGGCAGGGGGAGGATTCTCTGCTGCTGGAGAAGTCCTGGGGGCCACAGTTGGTGTTTCCGGCTAGGCACAAAGGTCCCAAACCCAGGGCAGAGTGGAGCTGGCTTCCCCTCCCCGGGTGGGTAGCTTGTGGGGGTAACCTGGAGGGGAGGGCAGGTGGGGGGAGGCGCGCTGGGAGGTTTGGCCTGAGAAGAGGAATTAGGTCAGGGATGCAGGTGGGTGGGCAAGGGGGGAGGGCCGCGTCTGCTGCGGAGCTTCCTCCTGGCTCCAAACGCATCTCCACACTTCCCTTCCCCTCCTCCCCACTGCGGGTCCCAGGAGAATTCGCCCGGTATTCCCCCTCCCCCATGCCCCCCCAGGCGTTGCCACAGGGTGGGGGGTGGGGGGAGGCCAGCCTCAGCTGTCTGAAGGATGGAGGGGCTGGGGAAGCAGGGCTAGGTGCCCAGACGGCCGCGTGTGTGGGAGGGGATGTCCTCAGATGCCCTCCACCCGGCAGTCCCCGCTCTGACGTGGGTGCCCCCCCTCTCCCCGCCCGGATTAGTGGCAGCTTGGCCTGACTCTCCGGGGCTCCTTCCCCCGCCCCCGCCTGCTGCCCTCCCCTGGGCCGGGGGCTGCTCTGCCCAGGGGGCACTGTGCTTGCCCAGGTAAGGGGCTCTGGGGATGGCAGGAGGGCCACCGGCTCGCGAGTGCTGCTGTGTCCGTCAGCACAAGCGTGGGTCAGTGAGCGTGTGTGTGTCAGCGCGCCAGGGGTCGGGGCTGGGGCTGGGCCCACGCGTGGCTGGGGGTGCCGGTCAGCTTGCCTTTGTCCACGAGTCTGGCACTGTGTCCACGCACCGTGTGGCTTTCCTTCTGTGTTTGTGTCTTTTGTGTGTCTCCTCCGCTGTGCTCCGTTCTCAGGCACAGAACAGCCGGCTACAAGGACTCCGTGGGCCTGTGGCATGGGTTCCCAAGTGGGATGGGGAGTTGTCGAGGGTGGGGAAGAGGTCTTTCCT